CAGTTGCCTTTCCTTCTATAAATGATAGAATCAACTTCTTCATGCGGGTTAGAAATCGATGAAGGTATGGATTGCTCAGTTTTTGACGTGGAAGCTACTGAGATAGCTGAGAAGGCAGAGGAAGTGGTGGAGCAGCTTTCCAATTCCCATCCGAAACTGATCTTGGGTGACTCATTGCTTACTTCTCCATCATCCTGAACTGCTTTAAGGGTTCCTCCTCTTCTGAACCTCAGTGCCTGATAAGAATTCAATGGCCATTTTGTTCCCTTGGTCAGTCTCTTATTGCAATTCAACAGTCTCATGCACCATCGTGGCTTTCTCTCTTTCCTTTATTTTGTTTCATTAATTTGGTAGTTGAAACATCATTATTCTACCCCGTATGCATCAAGGACATCATAAATGAAAAGGTTGCAACAATGAAGTGCACATGTATGAAATTTCTTCTCACCCGTGATCATTTTGTGTCATTGAGAATGCGATCTAGAGCAACTCTCAAGTCCACTGTTAAATATATAGTAATGGATCATTGCAGAAGTTAAAACACTTACCTTCCTTCCACTAAGTTTTCGTCCTTTCTCTGTTTTTACAGCCGCAGCCCATCTAAGTAGCTCTTTCATTCTTGAAATGGTCTTCTTCCTATCGCCTCTGTTCTGATCCGGATTTTCTGAGGTGCCTTCACTTCTTTCTTCAGCTATAGGCAAAACCTTGTTTCCCACGTGAGCAACTGAATCTACCTTGTTACTGTTTTCTATTCCTCTTTCTGTTTCTTCTCTCTTCATCTTCGTAGAATGCAAAAAATGTTGTCTTCTGTTATAGTCTCCTACTCTCTTTGACTTAAGAGTGCTGCAGAGGCAAGAGTTAGCGATGTCCTTCGTACATATGAATGCAAATATCCTTACATTCTTGTTCCAGCCATGCTTTCTTCCTCTACCACTTGTTCGTCTGTATGCCCTTCGATGCTTCTGTAGAAGTATATTTTTCCATCGAGCGTTCAGATCTGAAAGAACACCATATGTTAAGTTCAGATCGAAAATGCGGAAATAAAAGCAGGCTCAGTATTTAGAAAACCACAGTTTAGATGTCATTTCACGTCCAAAACGTCTTTGTTTAGCACGTACGCTATTACGCCTCTTTAACCTGGTTGACTTCGATAAATTACCATTTGTATTCTCTTTTTGACAGAACGATATTAGATTTAATAAGGCATGTTCAATATGTAATACCATGATAGTGGAATGTCAGATAAAAGTGTAACCAACACCAAGCACCTCCTAAGAATTTTAACTCTACTACTGTAAGAATATACCTTTACCTCCGACGGTTTCCCCTTTGGAGGCTGCAGGACTAAAGATGATCTCTCTTTCTTTCTCATGTGCCAATTTGAAGAGCCGTTGAAGGATCTGCCATTCAGCACCAAAAAGGAACTATCTCTATCAGGTTTGATGACAATAATGCTTTTCTTTCTAGTTTCTACAGATCCTACTATCTTATCTTCACATGACAAGAGCAATACCTGCATGTTCACTTATATAGTATTTTGGGTCAGTGGGTCTGTGTGATGACTTTATCAGTCAAATGAACAGCACTACAGATCTATGTGTGTGCTGTCTGGAAGCCCAGGATTCCTGTCTAGTCTGTGAGGACTTTGGCGAGAATAAGACAAAATAAAAGTGCGATGAGTCTAAGGAAGAATGGGAGACAACCAGGCAGTGAGCGGGGAATTGGTTGGCTTATGATTCGGAAGTAACATGGGAGGAATATATTATATAGGAGAGCCCAATGGGAACTGTTCAGATGGGAAGACTTTGATTTACTTAAGAAACGCATGTGTTTAGCCTTCGTGGCCTTGTTCCTTGCCATAAACTTGTATGCCTGTGGTGTGTTTGGACCCCAGCCCATCAAATGGAGATCTACATCACCCAGGTTATGCTAGGAGTTTCAAAATTTAATGCACATTACCCTGAGAAAAACTGTTTCTCAAACTTTTAGCCGGTGATTCCATTGGGAGAGTATTCATTTAGTTTAAGCAAAGTCATCTTCGTATATAATTAATGAACTACTACCCTGGGTCTTATTTAAAAGACCTTATTTGTGGACTGCAAATAATGTCTTATAATTAGTACCGGAGATAGTATAACATAAAATAATATCATTATAGGAGTCAGTCTAGTTGAATACGTTTTGGGTAAAACACTCATTTATTAGATACTTCAATTAAGGACTATCCCACGTTGATGAAACAAACAAACAAACATTTTATGATTGCCAATGCTAACTGGTTTAGTATTTCATAATTACATAGTGTCATTTAGTTGACAGAAAAATGTCTTAATAATATGCTACTGGTGTGATCCAAATTTTGTGAGTCAGGTTAGGTCAAACTTTGAATTAGAGACTAAAACATATATAGATTCAAGGGCCACAACTTGAAATTCAGGCTGAAGCTCATTTGAATTCAGAGACTCATAATTAATTGTAGAGTCTTCATTTGGCCACAGTTAAGCATTCATATGTATTCTAATCCTTTACACATGATAATGGCACAAACGCCATGGAAAACTGAGAACAGAAATTGCAAACGCATGCATGGACCATGAAGCTCAATCTTGTTGATTAAGAAACAAGAGAGAAGGGAAATTAAATTTGACTGAAAGATGCATTTGGAGGAGGAGGATGGCAGGCACAAGTGTCAAGTTATAATACATGCAGATGTTAATTAATGGAGTGTAGCAGTTGAGCATGTGGGGGACGCCGCAGAAGATATTTCAGGAAGCAAATGAGGTACTGTGGATACAAATTAGGGAGGCGTCGCTGTCACATGGGGCTGAGTGACGCACAAGCACTTAAAAATGGCGATTGAGAATACACACACATTCACTTTCGTGCTTTTGAGGTTCCCTCGTAATGTTCTCTTAGCTTCTTCTTCGATTGAATATGATGGATAGGAAGCCTCTGATGTGTCACTTTGTGCATCACTGCTTTGTTCGGATCGTGATGTGGCTTCTTCACAGACTGCCCAGTCTTTTTCTTCAAAAATCTAGCGGATTATATTAGGGTATATGCGGATTCATGGAAAAAAAATTAACGGGTTAAGTTTAGTAGAAGGATTACTCCTTAACAACATAGAAAATAAAAATTCAAATCCCGTTAAAAAAAAGATTTACATTTAGGGTCCGATGGTATTTTATTTTAAATAAGATTCTTTCCCATGGAAAATACATAACAAGAAAAGAAAAGGGGAAAAAAAAAGGAATGCCTGTTTTATCATTCAAAAATATTTCTTTTTTGTTTGGCATTATATTCTGGAAGGAACTATATTTAATTCTTTAATATTTGTTAGCAAAAAAAAAAATTCTATAAGAGTCGGGAAACTTGTATTTTTATGCCAACCATAAAATTTATGATTCTAAAATTTTTCCAACCTTTTGCTTTTCATCCCGACAACCAAAAGAAAACCGTTGGGGCGTTTGGTATGCCTGCGGCGAAATGTTGACAAAATTATCTTTATCATTATTTAATACTACTTCTAATTTTTAATATAAAATCTCGTTTGACTATTATTTTAGATTTAAATATAAAATTTTAATCTATTTTATCTCTTATATTTATCTATTTTTTTAAAGATAATTATTGTAATAATAGTAATTTTAACCAATAATACATTTGATTAGCAAGTATATTTTAAAAAACACATATATTTATTATAAATAATTAACTTAACTAGTTTTCTTAATTTACTCAAATTAATTAACTAATTCTTATATTAAAGATCGCAGCTAGTAGTAATTACCTTTTTTATGCGCACACGTTTTATTAATAAAATTATTTTTCATTAATTAATGACATAGCTCTTTAGGTTGAATTTATGAATTATGAATATTCTTTGCTGACAATGATAATTAACTTCTTTTAGATAGGGGAAGGAAGAAGTCAAACTCTTGAATTAACTTTCCTTCATATATAAATCAACAAAAAAAACAATTTTGCCTCATCTATAAGAATTAAAAACAATACCCCAAAACTTTTTTTTTGGGCGTATTCAACAATTTAAGATATTTTTTGAATAACACTAATATCCCAAAGCCGGAGTATGAAAAGTCACAATATGTAATTTTATTTTACTTTTTAAAAACATTTCTCTACCTATTTCATTTACTTCATATAACTTCATTTTCCGATGGCGAAAAAAAAAGAGCTTTAATTTTACCTTACAACAAATTAAAAATGTTTGTTAATGATGATGTGTTTATAGTAAATAAATTTTTTTAGTGAGATACCATTACATACTTCTCCGATCCTTAATATAGGACCCAATTCTTGAGTTGGTTTTAGTCCTAAATATAAGACTCATTTATCATATTTATCAATTTTTTTTCTAAATTACCCCTATGAATACTCTCTCAACCATAATCAAGTAGAAGAGAGAGAAAGGGTATTAAAAAAACTGATTATGGTATTTTAGGAAAAATGTGTCACTTTTTTTTATAATTAACTAACTTACCTAATTTTCTTAATCTAAGAAAATTAGTTGAATAGGTCTTATATTAAAGACTGGAGGAGTATTTGTCAAAAATCGAAATTCAGGCTATTTGTTAACTTCTTTAATCCTGTATACCAAAAAAAAAATAATTCTTTAACCCTTGTGCATAATTTAAAATGACAGTTATTTAAAACAGAGGGAGTTAATTCTTACCCCAGCCTACTTAATTTTATTTCTTTACAATCCAAAATGTATTAACTTTAGAATTGCTGATTTTGAAGTCATCCATTTATAAGGAAAAATACGTTGACTCTATTTTGTTTTATGAAACTACAGAAATATTCTTTTTAAATCCAGAGTCTTCTTTTCAGTCTCACTTTTTATTCAGTTTAGACTTTTTCACTAAAGATATTTCATATCAATCAAAATGCATATCAAAATAACATAAGATTCCATGCGTCTCAAGCATAAATCTCAATTGTTTCAGGTCACCTGACCCAAAGAGTCATACTCACATCCATAAATTCAAAGTGATATGATTCTACAATTGTAGCATCACAAATCACAAATCACGAATAACTCAAAAACGGGATCAACACTATTCACATGCTTGGAAACAATGGTTCAATCAATAGAAAGATTCACAAATATACATCTAAAGTATTAGGTTAATTGATAGATTATGCCAATATGACTAACTTTTCTTTTGCCCCCGGGGCCAATCCAACTATGACTACTTAACAAACACACGATTTAGCAATAACTTTGATATCCCTTAAGCTAAGTGCTTGGATGGCAGAAGGGACCTTCATGAAAATCGTAGATACCAGGACTACGAGAAACTGGCTCATCGATCTCCCTAGTTTCATTCCATATAAGCATCATCATCACGCTCCGTGAGATCAAAGCCAACGCTTGAATAATGTCCTGCATGCTATTTAAACAATTTACAGAGAAAAAGCCAACTGGGTAAGCCAACGGAAAGTTGGAAACATATTCTGCTAATAAATGCTTCTCCTGAGAAATTGAATCGTTAATTTACCGGAAACAATGATGGCCATCAGCAAACCTCATAAACGATCCCCATTGGACCTTGTCCGGGTCAAGCGTCGCCTTCTTCTCGGTACAGGAGATGCATCTTCACCTGCATCACTAAATATGCGCATATCTTCATCAGCATCATGGTTGTCACGAAGACCCAACAAATTCTCACCCCACAGATAGCGTCTGTCAGATGAACCTCCTGCTGGTCGACGATGCCTTGTCCATGCTCTAGAACGAGGCCTTGGCTCCCGTGCATTTTCAATTGAACCAATCATCTGAAACAAGAAGAGGGTTGTCCACCATGGCCCCCCATTCGAATCGCCCATGCTACCTTCCCTATCATCTGAGAACCTACCATCTCCATTTTCAACGACATAATCACCCACAACCACAGCACCAGGCATGGCTGACCGAACAGCACTGACAATATCACCATATTCTCTCTGTCGTTCAAGATGTCGCCAGGCTCTTACCCTTGAGGGATCAACATCAGAGGGACGGGTGGTCGGGTGAACCCTCCTAGCATGTCGACGCAATTCAAGATAATTACCAACAAATGAGCAAGACTCCCTAGAGCAGCTTCTCTTCTTCAAATTGAGATAATTTCTAGCCTCTTCAACCACCTCCCAACCCAGCACTGTTCCTCGACATAAGGGACATTTCAAACTCAATTTTGACTCGGATGAATTATCCACATCTAACTCCTCAAGCTCAGCCCTGTCCTGCAAGGTCTCAGAATCAACAGTTTCTAAAATGCCTTCATTAGGCGAGTTGAAATGTCTAGTTGGATCTTGAACATCACCCTGTCTTGATCCTTGAAGCAATCCAACAGATAATACAGTATTGATTTCATTTTGGTGATTTTCATTACCATCATTCAAGTCAGGTTGCATATTGAGATTAATATCAGAACTATTACCAGAGTTGTTTGTGTTTACTAAAGAACTGGATAAATTTGAACTGTCCTTAGAATTGGCCTGCATTTTTTTAAACCGGTCCAAGCAATTTGAATGCCTATAACTTGTATCACAGATGTAAGATCTGCAGCCCTTTTCGTAAGAGCTGCAGTGAAGGAGAACAGCATTATGTGGATGATCCATGCAAATAGGACATGAAACTTCATCCAATTCTTTGTGAAGAGCATGGATATCTGAATCACTATACAATCTTCGCTTAACAGCAGTCATCTTCCACGCACAGTAATAACTACTAGCAATATTAAACTAATCAGAATAACAGATGATGCATGTAACCAACCAAAAATTACTTCCATTTTTCAGAACGTGATAACATGCCAGTAAAATATGACACATTCTGACATACAAATTAATAATTAATAAATAAATAAAATTAATATAAACACAGGAGATAAGCATTTAAAAAAACATATAGTTACACGAACAGGCAGAAGAAGTATGGTTAGGAGAGCAACAAAACATAACTGGAAATAACCGGTTCAATTTCATCACACATGTTGGTCCTAAGAATATTTTGGGGTTGAATGTGTGGGTAAGTGAATGCATCAAACCCAGATATTAGGGGCCACCTTCACCAACCAATACAACTCATCTATGATTTTTATATGTTGGCCTTGTAGAGCCAATATCATCACACTTGAGGTAAGCAATGATATAAGGTTCTTACATGTTAATCTTGCAGTGCCAATGTTTTCAACTCTATTAATTCAATTATCAGTCAAAACGCAAAGTATATTAACTTACCTTTTCCACTCCCCGGACATCTTAACACAAAATCCACCATTAATCTTCATTTAACAGGAAATAAATAAATAAATAAAAACTACACTAGCCAACTAAGCTGACAGCTGAATTCCCCCCCCCCCCCCCAACCAATCTAGTAACCAAACCTTAGATAATGGGAAAAAAAATAAAAGCTATTATCTGCAATGAGCAAATACAGGGTTCAAAACTATAACTTGACAAAGAAGGAGAAGGAACTGTATTTATTCCTTGTAAATTATAACAGACAAGAATAATTGGCCTACTTAGATTCAAAATCATATCAAACCCCATGTTCAATCGGAATAACGGAACCGAGAACATCAATATAGACGTCCTTTTTAGTGCTAAAGAATGAAGGGAGTAAATAAACAAATGCAGGATAATATTTAATTCATAAAATTCACTGCTTCCAAGTTCCAACACAAATGACAATTAGTAAAATTCCACTATGTACATAACTTACCAAGAGAACAAGCTTTAACAAGCTTTAGTTATTCCCTACTGAAGGCTTCCGAGTCTCAAATTGTATTTTCAGTATCTTACTTGACTTCACAAAAGAATCTACACTTATGCAATGCTCCAATGCAGGTAAACTAATAATGCAGTAATGTATGCTAAAATCTTTGGCAAATATATAATTAACGAACACTTCTGCACAACAGAATCACCAACTAGCCCCAAAATCTGCAGGTTTGACACCAAAAAGGAAGAAAAAGAATAGTTTTAGCAAAACAAGATATCAATCTAACAAATCTCAAGGAAGCAATATAAGAAAAAAGAATAATCAAATAATGAGGGCACAATTAAACTGTTTTCCTTAACATTTCTCTTCGACTGTGCCTGTACAATACTTTGCTATTTTTAAAAAATCAAATGAGATAAACCTCCTACCCTTGAAAAATCAAAGCATAAATAGATTTTTAGAAGGCGTCAGCTTAATCGTCCCGGCAAATAAACTAGTTTAGCATGTTTTATTTTGTTAGTTTCTGATTTCTGATTGTATTATATTTGATTATTATTCACATTTGGAGATAAGGATCTGATCCTATTTAATTTTAAGATTACATTAGAATAGAAGATCAGATTTGATTACAACAATTTAACCCTAGACTCACCTATATGTATATTATCATTAGATCAATGAAACTTGCAAGCTGAGTCGCTATTTTGCTCTGCAGATCTCATAGATGTTGTAGTATATAGGGTCACCAAATAATCTCATTAGCTTATTTGGCATGGCGCCTAAGTTATTATACTGTTTGCAAACTAGATTGGCATAATCAAGAAAATAATTACGAATAGTTTCAAGTGGCCCCGAACAAGATTACAGGAATGGGCAATGACCACAGCAGGTAGGGTTAGTAAAAGTTGCAGGACCTCTTCGTATCTTGTCTAATCAAGTGTCCTCTTACAGAACTCTAACATCTAGCAAGATTTTTGTTTGCAAATTAAAAAAACCAGTCTCAGCGAGCCTTTGAAATTCTCTTAATATGAAAGCATTATCTGTTGTGACTATTTGAGTTATATAAAGCAAAATGTTGAACAACAATACATAAGGTTTTCATTTTTCCCTGATTGGCCAAATACAGAATACAAAGCAGAACACTGTGTCCAAGACCAAGTCGATCATAAGGAAGACAACAACTTTAGCTAGAGAAAGCAAGCAAGACGTCATGCCAATGTCAAATTTATATGGATACATCATCAACTGATACATTCATATCGATGTGCTTAATCGCAGGAGCTGAATAAGACTAAGCACCGAGAACATAGCACCTTTCAACAACAAAAGCAGGACATAAAGAAATTAGCAACTGTTCACCGTCCGATCGAAAAACATTAACCAAGGTGTGAAACAATTCAGAGACGATGATGAAGCGTAGACGAAGCCACCAGAGACAGATGATAAGCAGAGTTCTAAAACTCGTCAAGATCCTAGGAATTGGCACACGAGGTTCCCAACTCCAGATCAACACCCGATCGCCAAAAACAATGAAAGAAACCCTACCCAAACCCTTAAAAGTCCAAATAATATGAAAATCGAAAAGAAAACACAGCACGGCAAGGGGAAAAAAATCAGAAACACCAATTGAGAGCCCGATCAAGCATAATCAGGATCCGATAGCATATATTGCAAACGACAAACAAAACAAAACATTTAGTAGAATTAAAGGCGGGTATTTACGAAGAGGGTTTGAGAGTTTTTTCCCCTCTGGGGTTGGTCTCCGCAAAGATTGCGTGGAGGAACTGCCACAGATACAAAGAAGGCAAAAATATTTGAAATTGGAAGGCATAGAAGAAAAAGCAGGGTATTTATAATGCTTTGAGGAGGCGGAAGAGCGGGGCCCAGGACAGAGGACTCCGCGGCCACAACCGCCTCATGGTTGAGGCCCTGAAGGATGGAGGCGTGGTTGGCTAAGGTGGTTTAGGACGCCTGTCTGACAAGGGCATTAAGTGGGTTTGGTGCATCAATTCCCCCCCCCCCCAATATTTTCAAGTGGCATTGATGGAATACTTACTTTGGAGTTACTTTTTTTTTTTCCGGAGAAAAAACTTACTGCTTGCTTCACAGATCTCTGAAATCATATTAAAAGTTAATATAATTTTTGATGATATAAATTTTTCCTCGTTTTAATTTTAGTTTCTCAAATTTTAAGTCAGAAGTTTTAATCCCTAAAATTTCTTTTTATTTAAAACATTAGTACTTATAATTTAATAAAAACTTAGATTATTTTACACTTTAAAAAAAACTAAAACTTATAATTTGAAATTTGAAGGATAAAAAATAAAATGAGAACAAATTTAAGAGATTAAAAATTATATTAACTTTAATATTAATATTAATATTACAATATTTTCTAAATTTTGGCCAAAAGGAATTATTCCTCCGGTCCTTAATATAAGACCCAATTTTTGAGTTGGTTTTGGTCCTAAATATAAGACCCATTTTTCATATTTATCATTTTTATCTAAATTACCTTTATAGATACTCTCTCAACCATAATTAAGTAGAAGAGGGAGAAGGGTATTAAGAAAGATGATTATGGTATTTTAGGAAAAATATGTCACTTTTCTTATAATTAACTAATTTACCTAATTTTCTTAATCTAATCAAATTAATTAAATGAGTTTTATATTAAGGATCGGAGAAGTATAATTCATGAAATTTTAGTTTTTTTACAAAGGACAATGAAAAAAAAACTGGAATTTTGTAAATGTCAAATAAGGAATATCAAAAAAAATTTATTGTCATTTACAAATTCAGACTTGTCAATACCAAATAAAATTATATTATCAAATCTGATTTGGAATTTACAATTTCTAACTTCTTTTTCTATCATTCCCTTTTGTGCAAATTAAATTTGCCTCTGATATTTTTTTGGGATGATGAGAAATTTGGCTCCAATGATATGTATAAGTAGTACTACCCCGGAGAGCAACATAACCAATATAGATAAATTTAAAAAATTAATTAAATTAGTTATTTATAATAAATATATATAAATTTTTTATATTAATTTTGTTTAATTATGCACATTAAAATTACCTTTAGGTAAGAATATATTAAAATTAATAGGTAATTAAAGTCCTATATTTAAAACTATTAACTAGTTTTTATATTTATAATCAGAGTAACATTTATATACTTCTTCGGATTTTTATTATAAAAACTAGTTAACTAATTTAAATAGATTAAGAAAGTTTATTAAATTAATTATTTGTAATAATTATGTATTGTTTTTTTAAAATACCTTTATTAATTATATATTAGCTAAAATTATTATTTGATTAAATTTTAATATGCGTAACTATTATAAATGATATTTTTTTAAAAAAAGAAAATATAGCAAATAAAATGAATTAAAAATTTATATTTAGAAACAAATTAAAATTAAATTAGTTTTTTTAGTATTCTTCTAATCCTAAATATAAGATTCTTATAAAAACTTTTATAGAAGTTTTATATTTAGAATAAGAACAGTATTATTTTTTTATTTATTTCCGGTGGCGGATTCGTCCGTATCCGAGCCTCATCCTCCCGCCTTCTTTTCGCCCACACCTTGGACAGTGGCTGAACACCTTGGAATCTACCATCCACATTAAGGACTTCCGAGTTCGCACTCAATTACTTCGAATCGGAAGTCAAAGCTCATTGCTTGCTTCTTCTCTTATTTCATCGAAAATCCGAAGTTTGTGGCTCAGAAACTTCCATGTCGATAACTTGAAACTTGGAACGAATTTCCGGAATCACCCAAATGGCGAGCATTTCCACATGCTTCACTGTGATGCCAAGCTCTCGATTCTACAGTCATGCTCAGAATTTATGTAAAGCTTCGTCTTTGGCTAAGCCCCCATACCTGTTCCCAGTCATGCAAAAGCCAGTCTTCCTGGGATTCCCTAGAAGGGTTTGGGATTACAGGGTTTCGGTGCCGGTTGCGAGAGCGAGTGTTGATTTGCCTCAAGGGATTAGACCGGGAGGCGTTGTGGAGAGCGATAAGTTGCCGTCTGATGTGAGAAAGCGGGCAATGGATGCTGTGGATTCGTGTGGAGGGAGGATGACTATTGGGGATGTGGCAAGCAAGGCTGGGCTTAAGTTGAATGAGGCCCAGAAGGCTCTTCAGGCTCTTGCTGCTGACACCAATGGATTCTTAGAGGTAGTTATCTGGAAGTTTGTGAGGTTGCATCGTGCGAAACGGACTCTGAGCTCTTGTTTCATTAGGCCTATTTTAAGTTTTTGATTCGTGAGTACAATTGTTCCAAGATGGTATGTTGCAGGTTTCTGAGGAAGGTGATATTCTGTATGTGTTTCCAAAAGATTATCGGTCAAAGCTTGCGGCCAAGTCATTTAGGATTAAAGCCGAACCTTTTCTTGAAAAGGCAAAGGTGTCAGGCATTGTCCCCTTATCTATTGACTGTTGCTGATGTCTTGCTTCGTGCTTTGGTTCTTAATGTTATATGACATTGCCTTTGACAGGCCACTGGGGAATACTTGATAAGGGTTTCTTTTGGGACAGCACTTATAGCGTCCATTGTTATTGTTTATACTACGATCATCGCTCTGATTTCTAGCAGAAGGTACTAACCGGCTTTATCATATGTTGAATTCTTTAAATTGAGTTTTATTGATCCCAATTCCTGACGATAACACGTTTTGATACCTTTGTTCTTTTCAATCATTAACCATGTCACATATTTGCAGTGATGAGGACAATCGTGGAAGACGGGGAGGTAGAACATATGATTCAGGAGTCACTTTCTACTTCAATCCAGTAGACCTCTTCTGGTAAAATGTTTACTTCCAAATCCTAAGTGGGTTTCAAAAGCACATTGCTCAAAGAAAGGTGTGATAGGCTTATTTGATTGAACAATGTGGAGACCACCATATTAATAGTTATATTTTGGGATGATGAGGGAGGGGCAGGTGATTTTGTCATTTGTATCTTAAGAATTGTGTTTATAAAAACAGCCTAAATAGTTTTGCTTTGTGGCTTGTATGATTTTCTGCCGGCGGGAATCAAAGAACAAATTTATGGCAGTTTCTCTTTGCATATATGCCATCTAAAAGGACCCAAAGAGAAAAGGGAATAGAAAAAGAAGATAATAGAATAGAAGGTGGAGAAGAGGAAGATGGTGTGAAGAAATTGATGTGATTCTATTCTTTTTATGATAGGTGTGATTGTATTAATGTGATACAATGCAACATAGAAAATTGAGTTCCTTTTTTCACCTCTTTATCTCTTCCTAGAACTTTTTGTGAGTTGCTTTGTCTCATTTAAAATTTAGATACCAAAACTATGCAATTAAACACGATCACTTAGTGATTAAAGAAAACCAATCCTACAATGTGTAATTATAAGAACACTTCTGTATTTTAGTTTATCTACTCTAATTTTGGTACCATTTAGGGAAAGGCAACCCCTTTCTCTCACACCCAAAAAAAAAAAATTGAGATATACATTATTTATTATATCCCTATCATCATAATAAATACTTCTTTTGTCCTATTTATAAGGCAGAGATAATATGTTTTTGCCCTATTTATAAGTCGTGTCATTAAGTTTTTTACGTGATTTTACAATGCACCCTTTTTTTTATTCATGGGCATGCCATGAAAGTATAGAGTATATATTAAATAAGAATAAAGTTGAAAAGTTATTAAATTTTAAGATAGAGTTAATAGGATTTTAGGTTTTTCATACTTTTGATGGAACATGTCAAAAGTGTCTCATAAATAGGGCTAGAGAAGTAGTAACTATCTTTTTTATTAATTCTTTCGTTCAGGGGCACAAAGGACATTTCTTATCCACAAAAGTCATTTTTACCCAATACATTCTAGTTTAAATTCCATTTTATTTTGTATACCTGCCAGCCCTTAAAAGTGCATTCGAAGATAGGGATAAAGTTCTTGACTCTTGATTATAGGAGCATTGATTTCAGGAGAGAGTTTGCTTCTCCATTGTAAAATTCTTAAAATTTTTCTATGTTTAGGTATATTAGCCCCTGATAGAAGGCAAAGGTGAATTACAGCTGTTTTTATTATGTTAGACATGTAATTAATCCTCTTCATCCATATCATAGTCATTGTTATCTATAAATGACTTGTCTAGTTGCATTTAACCCAAAAAATTGATTTTTTGAGATGAATGTTGGCTATATGTCTATAATTTTATATGCTTTGGAAGGTACTGGGATCCGTATTACTATAGGAGACGAAGGATACAAACTGATGATGAAAAGATGAACTTCATTGAATCGGTGTGTGATGCAAATGAATATTATTTGTCTTTCTTGTTTGTTTCTTGTACCTCATAAAGAAAAATGTTTTTTTAATTATTTCTATATAGGTCTTCTCATTTGTGTTTGGAGATGGTGATCCAAATCAAGGAATTGAAGAAGAGAGGTGGAAGTTGGTAATATTTGAGCACTGAATTTAGTGGTCCGTTGCCTTTAATAAATATGTGCTACTCTAATTCTTTTTTGGCTTTTTGTAATAGTTTGAAGATTATTCTCTTATCTCTGCCCCTTGTCAAAGTTATACTTTTATTTTGTTTATTTTTTGTTAAAAACGAAACTTGGGGGCTACTTTATAATCTTTAAAGTGGTTAGTTTTGTTTTTTTGTTTTTTGCCCATGTTCATCATCTTATTTTAAAGCTGACTCCTTGTAAATACACAACATCATTTATTTTCTTGGATTATGTCCACTTCAGCTCTTACTTTCCCTGATATATGATAATTGCTCTGCTGTGCTCATTTTATTTACAGATTGGGCAATACATAGCATCTAATGGTGGTGTGGTAGCAGCTGAAGAACTTGCACCATACCTTGATGTAGAGTCTACAAAGGAGCTTAAGGTGACTTAGCTTTTTTAACAGTACCAGACACGTTTTCCCATGCATTGTAGTGGGTTTGAGAAAAGAGTTATAGGGTTCGTGGTTTGTGAATGGTGCGGCTTTTATAGGATTTAATTTTTATATTCATATCTTATGTGAGATAGAGTTTGCTTTGGCATCATTTAGTTTGTTGTTCTGCTTATAGGTTTAGAGTATACATTTTTCTGACTCTGGCATAATTTAGTCCATGTTTGGTTTGATGAATTTTGAGATATGGAAAGGCTGGTGGAGAAGGAATGACTATTTGTTTACCAAAAAAATGAAGAAGGAATGAGTAGCTTTTCCGTCATTTGGTACATAACCTTTAAGCCTTCTAGGAATGTCATTTTCTGTCAAAATGTTGGACGACTCATTCCTTAGGGGTGCTACGGAAAATGCTCAGTTCCTGCAGATGATATATTTTAAGGCCATTTTACCCTTAGTCATCTTTCAATATGACAATTTTGGCTCAGTAAAACAAAAACCTATCAGGTGAGTTAGACTTCTCTAAACCATCTTCTCTCCTACATAAAAGAAAGTGGCTATGTTGGATGAACTCAAACAGGATGATGGATGAGGTGGTGGCTGTCAGAGATTGGAATGTGGCGATGAGTTCATCATCTTACTCTCCCTTACCTTGCTCTCCTCTTCTTTCATAAGTAGCAGCAGCTTCTATGCAGTCACCACCTCTGCCGCTCAAATGTGTCAATTCTTGAAGCTCTTGGCATTCGGTTCCTCCACTGCTTTCCCCTCATTTGCCTCTCTCTGTCTCTACACAGACACACACACACAGAGGCACGCACACGCACACGCACACATGTATATACCTGTTGAAGCTCTCAACGATTCAAGCTGATGGTTGTTGGCTCCTTCCTTTTTCTGTGATGTTTGCTACCATTTCCTTCTTTATATATATATATATATATATATATATATATTTATTTGCATATGTTGGTGTCATAATTCTTGGTTTGTTTGATTGGATTTGTGTTAGGTCTCTATCTCTTTGATTATGTTTTTGGTTGGATTACCGAATCTGATTTGTGGTAGCTGGTAGGATATTTTTGATGATGAAGAAACATCTGGAAGAAAAAGCACAATAAAGAAGAAATAGGGGTATTATTTTCTTTTTGTTTTTAAAACCTCTTATTCCCTTATTAAAATACACATGCCAGACAAAAAAGATTCTGTTTCGTTTTTTCTGACATGTCATTAAAAGTCCATTCCATTCTAGTTCCCATTCCTATTCCTTTTTTCTGTTCCCGTTCCTCCTAAACTTCTAACAAGAGTTGAAAACATTAAAAATCTGGGATATTTTGTTAGTTACTATTCTACTGTTTCTCTATTTTTTCTCCTGATTCGTAAATGCTTGTTGTTTGTATTATAATTTTACCACCTAGTGGGATAAGGCTTGTTGTTTGTATTCGTAAATGCATATAAATAGAAAAAACAATTTCTCTATTTTTTAACCCACTAATATTCGAATTATATGTGTAAATTCCAAATTGTGTCCTTTTTAATCAACGTTTATGTGATGCTCATAATTTTCTTTACAAGTAATCGTAGTTGAACCAAAATGTTTCTTAAGTAATAGTCAAGGTTACTTATATTTAATTCTTGAGTACTCTAGTGTTTTAATGCTATTTTAGTTCATGCATTCAATCTTGATCCCATGTCCTTATTAGCTCACTTGAGTCTTTTGCATGCGATGTCTTTTTTTCTTTTTTTGTTTTTTGGTTTGATTTGGCTAACCTTTCTTATAAACTGCACGACACATTTCAACTTGATCAACTGACCTTAGTTTGCGTTGAAGGTGACAAATGTCTCATTGAATTATATTAAAATTGTTAGGTGATTTTAAGGCAATGCACAAATGGTTTACATGTTCACTCTATTCTATTAATTCTTGTTCTGTTGCTCGTCCTATACATTATGTTGATATTGATTCAAGAATGATTAACTCTTTTTTTAATGTAATTTAAAAGTTGGCGTATTTTCTTATTGTCCTGCTGTTTGACCTTCAATTTTTGAATAAGTGCAGGAAGATGAATCCTATATCTTACCTGTTCTTTTGCGATTTGAAGGTCAGCCTGACATTGATGAAGAGGTATGTTAGTACAATGTAATAGTGGCTTAAATTAATACCTTGTTCATTTTTCTTCCTCACTGCTTCCCTAATGGTTTTTTTTTTTTTTAAAGGAATGCCCCATGTGCTCTATTTGATATAAATTGCAAACCTATGCAAAGAAGGATACGATCAAACATTATGATTCTTAGAAAACCGTCTTTCTCTTGAGCACAATGCCTTCCACAACCCACTAGAACATAGTATTTCAGGGAATGAATTTCGTTTCCTTTTTTAATTTACTCGCAGGATATTTGTTGCAGGGAAATATTCTATATAGGTTTCCATCTCTGCAACGGACTGCTTCTTCACAACGCAGTAGCCGGAAAGAATATGTGGGGAGAAGATGGGCAGATTGGGTTGGAGGTGTTGAAAAATTTTTCAAGGAGAGGAAATGGCAATTCAGGTTCTATATTGCGTTTGTTGTGATCTTCTGGTATGTCTTTCTCTTATTAAATTATAACTTGGACAATTCTTTTGCAGTAAAACCAGTGCATCAGAAAGGGCAATGGTCATAGGCCTGGGTGGTCTTAATCTATTTGGGGTTATTACTCTTGGAGCCATGTTGAAGTATGCTCTTGACTTGATTTATTAGTAAGTTATTTTCCTCTTGGATCAGACTTTCAGTGTCCTCACTTGGGTTTTTCTTATGTCCAAAGAGAAATGGCAGTCGCACCTGGTGGCTTCATTAAATTTGTAGCCGACATATTCCCTCTTCTTCAGGTATGACTGAAACTTCGATTTTTAAACAATCAAGTTACTTCTTGGTCCACCTTCAAAAGTGAAAATTCTTGTCCGATGTAGTCATTCAACTATTTCAGATGTAGGCATGTAGTTGCCCTATTAACACATGGCATACACGTGTATTTTCAATGATTGAGGGGCAGAAAACATTGCCCCAAAAAAAAAAACAAAGAAATGAGAGAAAACTGGATGAGGATTGAGTAGATAATAAGTGAATTGATAATAACAAAAGGTTGAGCTTTTATTAAAATAAAATAAAATAAAAGGTATTAAGCTGATTATAACAAATCATATTACTTAATGAAGTGAACCTTGGCTCCTAGACGAGGTAAATCCAGTCCATAACCTCTATATGTGAAATTTATAGCCATTAACACTTGGCATCATGTTAACTACATTTCTGTTCTCAGTCACTTTAGCTTTCTTTTTTCGTTAAACAGTTCACTCTAGTTGTTTGTATGCATATAAAGTTGCACATTGAAGGTTCTACCAGCCAAAGCCACTGGGACTAGCTCAATTAACAAGAATGGGGTGGAGAATGAGTAGAGACGATAATGTTTCGAACCCTCCTGAAGTAATTAAAAAAAAAAGGTTCTTACTTGCCTAAGTTTGTTAACCAGACAAAAGAGCGTGATCAATGAAGTGGTTTGAAAAATAAATGTGCCTAGAGGATGAAATGGGCAAGGGTGTCAAATTCGTAAGTGTAGATAAACTCATGAAGAGAACATGAACATATAATGCTGACTAGTAGCGTAAAATCATTACTCCCATTGGAGCTCATCACGTAGATCAAAATATTAGTTAAAATTAGTTAAAGACAATAAATGTATAGAAAATAAAAGTTCTTTATCTAAAATGCCCTTATTTATGGGGGAGAGATAGAATAAGAAAATTATTATAATAAATAGAATTATGAAAGAGAGAGAATGTGTGATGGAGAGATAATGGTTTGGAAAATGTGATAATAAATATATTGAGTATTAAAATAAGTAATTAATGAGGGTAAGATAGCAAATTCGCTACAAAAATTTAAGACAACTTGCAAATGTTGCTTATATTTGGGGATAAGAGAGAGATGGTAGTTGTTGCTTATAAAATGGGACGGAGGGAGTAGTTTAATAAAATAATAATAATAAATTAAGTGAATAATATATATCATGCATATGTCAGGTTCCTATTCATGAAAGTACAAAACAAATATTTTATGCTGCTGAACTAACTGACACATAAGAAATCAACGTTTATTAAAATTAATTTACTATTTTCTTGATTTTATGAAATAATACAAGTCAAACTATTTGAGCAAAATATTTTGTTTGAAAAATGAAAAGTATATCAATATTTCACATAATAATAATTATTATCATTATTATTAATTACATTTAGTAAATTCCTTCATATTGATTGTTAATGAAAGAATAATAAATAATAAAATAAAAATGGCAATCTGTAACATAAAAAAGGGAACAGAAAATGTCACAATGCCACGTTTTTCTGAATGGTAGTCCTGTGATAATTTGAGAAACTAAAAGGCAAAGACAAAAGAGATGAAAGAAGGAAGCCTGAATAGAAAAAACTTGAGAAGTCAGAGAAGCTTTTGTCGGAAAAAATGGCATCAGTCATGGATTCGACTCTGATAATAAAGAGACAACAAGGAACTTTTAGGAGGCTGATATTAAAGGTACAACCATTTTCAAGTAGTTTCAAAACTTGCAATTTCACGGCAAATTTACAATTTTAGGCCTGTTAATTCAAGTATGATGATACTTGTTTTCATGTTATGAGTTTGCCAATAATAAACATCTACAGCCATAAAACTGTCTGAGTCTAGGATTTGAAACGTGGTTATACCAACATTGGAAAAGGGGGTTGATATTTGACGGAATTATGTGTAATTTGATTGATTTATTCTTCTCTCTATAATAAGGCCATGACATATCAGAGTAAACCTTAAGAAAATTTGGGTTGTTTGGCTAATTGTTCTGCTTATAGCGTGAATCCTTGTTTTATAGTTATCAAACATTAATTTAATTTTTTCTGTGAAATGTGTATTGAATGATTAATATTTTCAGATCTATGCTGGCTCTTTCTTTGCAATTCCTCTGGCTAGATGGTTCTTTATTCGCAAGTGGAATGCTGATATTGAAAAAAGAAACCAAGTTAGGCAGCAGTGTGCACGTGTACTTGAGTTGCCCGACATTTCACTGAGGAGGAAGGTAGCCATATTTGTGTTTATCTATGATTCCTTTTTTTATGGGCTGCTGTCTCTAATTTTAGTGGCATAGTTTTAATCATTTGGTAACTTTGGTTTGATAGTTCTTCGTAGTTTTTGTTTCCCCTCAATTCTTCCCATCACATGTGCTTTTTTTTTTTTTTTTGCTTCAGTCTGTTGTGGGCTGCGCCAAAGAAATTCCTTAATTTTCAGCTTTACTTTTGTGGATCTCCATAACTTTGACACTGTGCGTCAAACTGTAGGCCCATAAAATAATGTCTTTGATAAATGATAAGATGTGTTGTTTATAAAAAGGAAACTTACGGCCAATGTGTAAACTGCTGACATCCTGAAGAAAAGAAAAATGAGAATAGTTATTTTCTTTGATAATGGAAAATTTATAGACAGAATGGAGGACTAGACATGTGGAGTACTTTGTTACTGAGAGTACCTGACAACCCCCCCCCCCAAAAAAAAAAAGTACTTGCTATGATTAATCTATTTTGGAAGTGATCTCGCTCAATACTAATCTTTAATTATATCATCTAAGCACTTGATATTTGGAAATGATAATTTGAAAGAAATTGGTTGATTTCATTAAATGCATTCCATCTGATTTCCTTGCTGTGGATTTGTTTTGTTGGGTGCTGTTCATGATTCGATCACATCTGACAGGTGTATCTCTATCGCATGTTATGTTATTATGTGCCATCATGCTCCCCCTTTTCTTCATAGCAATTTTTTTTGGTGATAATTCTTCATGGTAATTTTAATTACAAGGACATGTTTAAATAATTTAAGTTTTTTTACCAAATGGCAAATTACGTCTTGTAATTTTAATTTGGACTGTATATCCCTAGAGCTTCAGCGTGACAAATAGTACTAGCTATTCATCAAGTCAAGGAATTTAGTTAATTTAATAGAACTAGATGTTGGCTTAAGTGCAAAAGGCTATTCATGTATGGATTACTCAGCATAGTCCTCCTGAGAAAGTCTTCATTGTGGCTTTCAGCTTCTCAGTGCCCGGGACATGGCCCAAAAGACAGTCATTGGACAGGATCAAATTTTGTACCGTACTGACAAAGACTTGGTTGAGCAAGAGTTTGAGGCTCGTGATTGGGACAAAAGATTTAGGGATCTGGAGAGATCGGATTGAGCGGAGTCAACTGTTGTATTGGTAAACTCTTAATTTCTTGCCTTATTGCAGTACATTGAACGGCCAAATTTCATCACATAAATGGATAGCTTTGCATGCAATATTTTGACATGCCCTTAGTTTCGCATTAACTGCGCGGTCTCTCTTTCTATTTATCTGTTAAAGGTACACTGAATAATTCCTTTTATAAAGTAATAATTAATGACGTCATATACATTAGAGACCAGCTAAAGGCTACATTGATTGGTCAAGTGATATAACTTGCTTATTTATTATATATCCTATAGCTTCAAGCATTACTTTATAAGAGGTTGAGACTAAGGGTGAAGCTGTGCATATTTTCTGACCTTGATAGTAACTCGTTGCACTTTCATACTGTTAGAGGAGGGTGTTTTAGTTATTTCACCACAGAATTTGACCATTCGACTCTCATCATTCTGACATCAAAGTAGATCTGTTAAGCTTAATTTTTGAAAATGGCTGAATTGTAGCAGATTTTTATACTCCTCGAACTTAGTTAGGGGTGGGTTTTGCAACAGACTTTAATCTATTTTATCTTTCATATTTATCTTTTTTTTTTTTTCAAACTGATTTACTTAACTTATAAAACTGATATACTATCTCTATTTTTTTCTATAAGAGCTGTATAACTAATTTAAAGAAATAAAAAAATTAGTTAAATTAGTTAATTGTAACAAATATGTGTTTAGTTCCCCAAGTTATCATATTTAATCATGTACAATTGAACTATTTCTTAGTGGAACTCTTTCAATCTCCAACTAACTCTTGATAGTATAATAAATGTTACAGATGATTATTTTAGGGAGATTAGGTCATCTATGTCAAAATTAAGTAATCTATTTAGTTTCTTTAATTTGTTCAAATTAGATAAATAGCTTTTACATTAAGAACTAGAGAAGTTACATAAGATATGTCCATAAAATATTGTGATGAGTCAAGGAATCCCCCCACCCCAAAGGAATGTCACTTTGGAATTTCAATAACTTTAAGAGGGTGTTTGGCAACCTTCAAAAGTACTTTTAGAAAGCATTTTTTCACAAAATGAGGCAAACTCGTTCACATATTTACTTTGTAAACCGTAAAAGTACTTTTTAAAACTATGGTTTTTACCCAAACACTCTCTAAATGACAGATATTTTGTAACGGGGCAGTAATTAGTAGCTTGTGCAGTAATTTTACAGTAACGTGCGCATGAATTTGTTTCAAATTTTACTACTACCCAATATGAATGCATTTTACGTGTTGTTTTGGTGGCATTTGCGTCATAATGATGTGTTGATAGATATCTTGAGTTTCAGGTGATTGAGCACCCGTTTTCACCCGCTGCCACATATAATCGTTTCCTTGTGTGGAAATATTATATATATTTCTGGAGAAATTGCAGTAGAGGCTCTACTGATGCAATCGCTGATGCTGATGGCTATCAAGACGGCAAAGATGCTCACAGACTCTGTAGAATCCAATGGGAATTAACAAGCTATAGGAACTATTTTTTTTTCCAAATTTTTTTACTGAGGCAGTACAAATTTCTGCAGGAAGGACCAGTAAATATATATACCCCTCAGTAGGCGGGGCGTCTGTGTGGTCTCCTACAATCTTGCAGGGTAGGGTTTATTACTGCTTCAAGCTTGATTACAGTCATTGTATCATTATAAAGGTTTTTTTTAATGGTAAACCAAGCTATGATTTGTATGCACACACTTTCTGGATACGGGAAAGGTTTATCATTAGTTTACAGTTGCTCACGTTTCTGTTTACGCTACATGTTATTGATTTTGCCGTCTGTTTATGCCATTCTCCTCTCCTCTCTCTCTCTCTCTCAACGATGGTTACATGTTGAGCATGAGTTTTTGAACGGAAGAGTTGAAAATTTATATTTAGCCCGAGTCAAACCCGATTGAGTTGCCCCAAAAATAAAAAACGATTAGAGAAATGGGAATAAACTACTTTGAACAAGCATGCACGTGTATGCAGTGACCCTATGGTTGGTTGAGAAGAGGGAATGAGAGGAAAGAAAGTGAAAAAAAAAAGGAAAAGTGCTGGGAAGTGATTTTCTTGCCTTGTACTCCGGCTAGCAGAAAAAAGAAGGGGTTAATTTTATGTGGACACCAACAACATTGTTATTTTCAAAAATATATGTAGGTGCATATGACAAAATTTATCAAATAGAATTAAAATATTTTTTTCATTTTATCTTAATTTGCAATTATTTTATCTAATTGAATTTGTATTTTTATAATAATTTTCATACAATGACTTCAAAAATCTTAAAATAATTCTAAAATAGCACATTGAGAAACAATACATGCGGATCCCAAAATTGATGAGAGTAAAAATAATTGAAGGATAGATTTGTTCTCTCAAAAATCTCTTATTTTAAAGAGGAAAGTTGTCAGGAAAAAAATGCTATTTCTAGTTGCGCTCCCACTTTTTTCCTGCTGAGCGCGGGTAAGAATGTGTTTAAAGTTGAATGTATCTGTTAAATTCCAATTATATTTTCGAAACACGGTGTTGCGTTACCTACTTACCATGACTAAGCTCCTACGGTAATGGTAAAAGTTCAAACTCATAATATTTTTATAAAAATCCTGGAGACTCAGAATTATTCAAATCCAAAAATAAAAATAAAAAAGAAAAATGAATATTTTAAAGATATGGTTCTTTTCAACATTCATGTTATTACTTTTGTTAAAACCTAGGTGTAATATAGAAGATAATTAAATTAAATATTCCTCTCACAAACAAGGTCTTGTAATTAGGATCGGAGGTAGTAACTGACTCCTAAACGGCCGGTTTTATCCATTTGAAATATATTTTAATTTTACAAAATGTCCTTAAAGTCTCCTTAAAAAGTAAGAATGTTAATAACACCCTGATTTTTACCTTTTTTTTTAAAAAAATATTTTGACATAAACGTGTGCTGAAACTTGGAAGACCTTACAATGCTCTTTAAAGGTTTGTCCCAATTATAAAAGCTATATTATGTAATAAATAGGTGTTACCCAAACGAAAATATGTCATGTAGAGTTTAATTTTATGAGCCAAGTATTCCAAACAACGTAATCTTCAGGTAAATTTCGGGGACACCTGCTGAAGCAAAGCAAACCAAAAACAAACTCAAACAGAAGTTGATCATACTTGGCTTTGCTTGTGTTTGGGATCAAGTTTGGAGATCCTAAACTGACTTCTCACCCACAAAAATAACTTTTGACCTTTTTCGTTTGGGATCACAATTTGGGATTACGATGAAACAAAAAAAACTTCACGTAAAAAAAAAAAAACTTTTAACTTGAAGCCATTTTTCATAGTTTCTCCAATGCATCAAGTGATAATTATACCGTCCCTTGTCTCAAAAGAAGTGTCCTGTACTTTTTATAGAAAATGACCCTACTACCAGATTTATTTATTGTTATTTTTATTTGTTAATGTAAAAATAATAATTAAAAAATAATAATTTTATTTGAAATTTAATTTTTATGTTTGACTAGTCAAAATCGAAGGTTGTTCATCTTAAAATTTTTAATTAAAATTTAGTGAGTATATTTTACAAATTTTCAATAATGCACCAAATCCTTTTATTTTCATAATTGATTTTAATAATTTATTTTTAAATTTTTATATACATTTATAATATCACTATATATATATATATATATAATAAAATTGTCTTTTCAATCATTTTACATCTAATTAATAATCTAAATAAATTTCAACTTGTTAAACTGATTTTTGATGAAAGTCATTGAATATAATATCCCATTTCTTTATCTTTCTTTTACCTTAATTTATGTTTATAAAAAAATCATGATGAAATAAAATCACCCTCCCCACCGCCAGTTCAAACGAAGAGAAACAGAAAAGACGAGGGAAATGGGAAAATTGGACGTGTTTCCATAAAAATGAACAAAAATTTGCAGGATTTACAAGCTCACAATCATGCAATATATATTTGTAGGATTTACAGACTCACAGTCATGCAATATATATGTACCTATACAGTAAAGATGTCCTGCTTTTCTCCTATAATCTGGCAGAATATTCGATCATGAAACAAGCAGAAAATTGATAGATACAATCAACTTATACCATGATCTAAATTTCAACTTCCACTAAAAGAATAAACAAATGAAGATATTGCCGACAGAAAAAGAGAAACAGCAGGCTATATAATTGTGCTCACTCCTCAAGAATTCAAGCCAACTTTAATACTCGGTGCTGGGAGATAATGGACAACGAATGGAAAAGGATGACCAAAGCATGCCTTGGTTTCAGGAATGAACACCGTTTGTTGTCTGCCGCAACTGATTATGAGGCTTGGCTTGGAGGGCCATAGACATTGATCGGAGACGACTAGTTATCTCAGTAAAAGATGGTCGGCTATCGGGTTCAGGTGACCAACATTCTTCCATAAGCTTCCTCCACTCAGGGTCACAACGGGGAGGAATTGGTGGTCGAAGAGTGTTCTTTACAATCCCCCCTAAAATCACATGTTGCCAAGAAGGAAGCAAATCAATAATGCAAGCCAGAAAAGCATCAGTGCTGCTCAATTGCAACTTCGAACATTCACTCCACCGCGCTTGATTTTAATTAACTGCAGCTGTTATATCTTTCCGACATATAAAATTCCGAACATCAAATATATTTAAAACAAAAGAGCAATGGAGCACGCAGAACGGCCAGACACACGGTATATTTCTCAACCAAAATAATTGTGTATTTGAATTTTGAAGACCTTTTCTCTTCATTTGTTTTGTCCTTTAAGCTTCCTATAAAGTCGTTTCAGAGCAAAGAACAGCAATATGAAATTCCGTTACAGCTATACAAGTTACTTGCAACAACTAAAAGACAGAAGCTCCAGTGCATCTCAAGAAATCACAAACCTCTATTCTTAAGCCATACTGATATCTGTCACTTATATCGAATAATGCAGAAATTTATGCAGCCACCTATGGAAGAGAAGGTTCATTTTTAGTTCTAATAAAATTTAATCTTCTGTCTGAAAAGTCCAACTTATATTTTATGAAAAAGATAATTCTGATTTCGTGGTACGGTCAATTAGCTTGGATCAAACTGCAGGGGCATGAAAATGATCATGATTGAGTATATCTTACCGATAATAGCGCCACAATGCATATCTGCATAAGGTTCCTCCCCAGTCAATATCTCCCACATAGAGATGCCAAATGAGAAAACATCAACCTATCAAAGTCATTCCACAAGCTAAATATCCACCCAAAAAATTCATTTAATTCCTTTCTATTAAAAAAAAAATGCATCTCAACAGTCTCACAGACCTTCTCGGAAACCCGGTTGCTACTGCCGTTCAACAGCTCTGGTGCCATCCAAGGAAGGGTTCCTCGCACACCCCCAGATACCAGGGTATTGCGTTTAATTCTTGATAATCCAAAATCTCCAACCTAAAATTTAATCATGGGAAAAAGGTTGCAAAAGGATAGACATTAGTATTATTAGGTAAGAAATATTTTAGGGAGTCCAAACTAAATTTCATGTATGTCAATGACCACTTCATCCTAAAAGCTTCAGCTATTAAATAAAAGCCAGTGGATACTTTTATCATAATCTTCAACTAGTCTCCTCACTCAAAAGCCATAAACGCTTAAGTGTGGACAAACTACATGCCCACTATACCTCGTGCAAAAAGTTTTTTATTAGGAAATGAGGGTAGCAAATGAAACTCTTGATCAATTGTTCATGGAGGTTTTCTGCCATGTCAAAGATCACTCCAAATGTTTCAGTTATTATTAGTCTTTAATAATTTCCATCCAACTGTATTATTATACTTGATTTGACTTAAATTTCCTGCCTCCGTATATTCTTCATCACTTTAAATCAAATGATACTGTACGCACATTCAGCAGCAAAAGGAGGCCTTGTCTCTTGCTTCAAACAAGATGATTTTTAGAATCTAGACATCTCACCTTACATATGGGTCTCTGTGGGTCCCTCAGATTGACAAGTAAATTGTCACATTTCAAATCAAAATGAACAATATTCTTTGAATGTAAATATTCCATTCCAAAAGCTGCATCCATGGCAATTATTAGCTTTTTACGATGATCAAGTAATCTGCATGAAGAGATGGAGATTCAATACATGCATAAATAACAATCCAACATTAAGCGCAGAACAAGAGCGGCGTTAGCATACCTATCCTTCTTGACAAGGACATGCCTAAGGGAACCGTTAACCATATATTCAGTTACAGTCGCCAAGGTTCCTCCAGCTCCATCCGGTACAACCCCATAAAAAGCAACCACGTTGGGGTGGTGAAGATTTGAGAGAATTTGCGCCTCTCTCCAGAAGTCTTTTGTCTAACCAAGGCAATAAAACAGTATCAGATTCAAGTGGATTTTATTTTCTTTTTATTTTGATAGAAACGTACTGTTGGCAGTTTGAAAAGAAGCTCTGAGATGGTATTGCCTAAAATTGAAGAAATATTAGCAAAATAACATGCAAGAAATCTCTTCATATGGTTTTTAGATTTTACGTGTTGAAGGGATTTGGATCCTAAAAGTGCGCCTTGCACTGAAGAGAGTAAAGTGCAAGTGAAACACCGTTAATGAAACGACCAAAGGAACTGAATCTGGCACATCCGTAGTTAGTTATCAAGAACTTGTCTATTTTATAATCCTCATCACTGATTACCCGTAGAAGCTTCAGTCTATAAAATTAACAGTGTACTCTAGAGAAACTTTACGCTCTGTTAGAAGCCAGATGCAATAAAAGATATTCCAATTTGAGGCATCATCAATTCCAATTCCAATTTAAAACAAAAAAAAAACAAAAAACAGTAGTGAAACTCCATGCAAGCACTGGGTTAAACCTGATTTCATTTCCATCCACTTTACTTAAAAGAGGTGATGTCATAGACCTATGGATATAGATAAATATTATTCACGTTATAGATTAAATAAGGTGTTGAAAACAAAATAGAATTGAAGACTAACCAATCGCTCTAGCTCAGAAGATCTTCCTGAAAAGCAGCTCCTTTTAATTCTCTTTATAGCAACATCAGTTCCCCTCCATTTTCCGTGATAAACAGTTCCTAAGACCAGATCCTAACTCCCGAAGTTCTTCAAGATCGGATTTTTGAATTATCTAAATGAGATGATCTTAAAAATCAGTTATGGCAAATAATAGAGTGACAAAACAGGAAAGGACCAGGAGCTCGAGTGCGATGGTATAAGCATCATATAAACACAACAACAAAGCTCCAGTACAAGACACACATCAAGAAAAATTATATCTTCCCCAATTTTTGCAGAGGTCAGAAACAGCGGATCATAACAGTTTAGAGACAAAAAAACAGTGTATTATATTATATTCCAAAGAAAATAAAAGGTAGGTAAGACCATGATTTCTTAAATCACCATACCACCACCATGTTAGTTTGTAGCATTACTTTACACATAGCAATACTGACAGTTAGGAAGATGGAAACTGGTAAAATGAAATTGATGAAATGATTAATTTTTGTGAACAGCAATGACTATTTGTTACATTTACAAGGACAAATCTTGATCATCTCATGCAAAAAGGAAAAAATTAGTAATTTTACCCCCCAAAAAAAAATCCGCTAAGCAAAGGGTTATACAGCATATCAACAGCCATAACAATCAATCTGGATGGTCACTTTCTACAGGGAGCCCATTTTACAGCACCCATGAAAGAAAGCAATTGTAAGACAAACAAGGATCTAATATTGATGTCAGCTAATAGATCCCAGTCCCCTGTACTGCATACTCTAAAAGGGAAAAAAATGTTATTCAGCCAAAATGTCATTGACACCTGGAAATTTTGATGGGACTAACCTTTGGTTTTTAACCATGTCATTAAAGTACACGTGGAGTCTTATCAGTTTTGATGTCAGGAATCACAATTAAGTCATCCCCGCAGCTAAATAATTGGCGACCACGCTGTATTTAACTATATGGTGCATATCATACTCTAATATTAATCACTAAGGGAAACAGGAGACAGAGTAATCTATTTTTATTTTTTATTTGTTTATAATCTTTTTTACTTAGGTATCATGAGGTGATGAGCCATGTTATATTGCTTCATTCATTTTCCCCCATTACCATGGAATTGTTGCTAAAAGTCTTATTATCAGATACTAGTAAGTTTAAACCAGAGAATAGAACACAAGGTATTAAGTGTCAAAGCAACAGATGAATTCACTGTGTAAAAAGGAAAATTTTCTACATGGGTAGTGGATTTGACAATGTTGTTCAAGCCAGCCAAATAATATCAAGCACAGAAACAGGAAATGGAACATTTCAATGATGGGCAACCTGTAAGCCATAGATGCTGGCTTCCATTTCCGCTATCATTGCAACAGTAAGGGATTCATTCTTGTCTTCTTCATCATCTTTAAAATCCTATAAAGGAAAATATTTTTGTTAGAGATTCTGAAAAAAACCGGCAGATGTTCTTGCCTGATTGCAATATTTTCTACCTCAGGTTCAGAATCTGGAATAGCGCTCTCCAATTCTGTTGCAGATGGGGATACAACATCACTTCCAATTTCAACCACTATATGTGGGCTGGGCACCAATGAAGGCTCAACACTTGGAGGAACAACATCAGTCAAATCTTCTACACCAATAAGTGGCTCAACTTTATTCAAATTGTTGCACTTTTCAAAATTTTTGATTGCTCCAACGTGATATCTTCAGCTTTGTTTCACAAGCAAGAGTTCCACCACTATACTGATCAACCACTTGACTAGAACTAGCTACAAGTTCATCGAGAGAAGATACTCTTTTAAACACAGTATTCTTGCTTGAGTTCTGTAATTCATTCACAGGCAAATTTGAACTAGGACCAGGGTCATCACGAAGTACTGAAGGATACAAAAAAGCTGAGCTTACTGTCGGATTTCTACAGAGATCTGTATCCTTGTGAAAAGGTTGAACTTGTGCTTTTACGAGAAACCGGGTCCATGGACAGGTCGAACAAGCAATCGCTTGGAGAAGTTTTGCCAGAAGAGGTTCCTTCACATTTTAGGGATGAAGCATTAAAGCTAGATTTTCTGGTCCAAGAAAAATCAAATCCCAGCCCACCATTCAAACCTTCAGTTAAACCACAATCTCTTCCATCACTAGTCCCGTGTCTCATGTCAAGAAAATTTGATGGGGTCTTCTCAATCAGATTGTTTTGGGAAATTCCTGTCAAGCAAGAGGATGCAGAAATCATACCATCATAAGATTGCTCCAACTGATTAATCTTAATGTTTGAATTAGATGCTGGAGAAGAATCCAGAATATGCAAATCATTCACATGCTCTATAGCAACGGCAGGTGATTCCCTCTCATAAAGATTGCTCTCGTTAGTCTGAAGAGAACTTTTGTCTTCCATTCTCTTCATGATTTCTGTTTTCACAGTATTGTCCCCACACTGCCGCTCTATAAAGCTAGGTGCTGTTAAATCAGTTTGAGCTAAAGGATTCCCCCTACTGTATAAAATGCTATCCTTCTGAATAGGATCATTCACTCCTAAACATACCGCAGATGGAGAAGAAAATGGAAAATCCTGCCTTCTGTGCAACTCACCTGGCTCAACATTTGGTATCTTACTTTGTCTTTGGGGATAAATGAGAAGCGGATCATGCTGGATTTCCACAGGGTCCCTTTGTGAAACATTGGAGGATAACATTGAAGATAACTGAGCCACTGAAAGGTTCAACGAGGAAAATTGACCAACCCCTTCTTGAGAGCAGTAACCAGACTTTAATCCACTCTCATGCAACTTCGAATCAGAAAATGCATGGGGCATCCAATTTAGAGAATCAGGAATACAATTTGATCCAGACTGTGGACAAACTGATTCGCCCAGGCTGGAAAGAGGATTTCCTGATTGATGCATAGACTTTCACCCAAAATTTCATCATTACAACTGTCACTTTGATTAGCATATGAGGCCGTTATAAATTCCTTGCCAGGATTATTCTTGAATAGCTTCCGGTGGTACAGCTCTGGCGGAGTAACATCAGCTTGTTGGCAGGGGTGATTGTCATATAGGAAAGTTGCAGCCATTTGTTGGGAGCATCTGCTATCAGCAGGTACACTAGATGTCTCAGGCGATAATTGGGCAGTAATAAAGGATAAGCTACCTGCAGCACTTTCTGCCATGAGCTATTACCTTGAGACTGCAGATAAACTGTGCTCAAATTTCCTCCGTCAAATGGGGTAGGTAGTAGAAATATGTTGATGTTGATTGGAGGTCCTCTGCAGACTCTGAGATTCATTAAAAAACCCATTTGGATGTATACACTACCACCACCCTTGATCTCCGAAGAAGAATGTGTATTTGGAAATCTTTTCTGAAAGTCCGGAGCAAAATTCAAACTCGTCCCCAATGGACCAACTTCATTTGTCAAGCTCTGCCCTGAACCATTTATTCCAGGACTACAGTCCCCTATGCCATTCACCGCAACAACATATTGGTAATCAGGATT